GAAGCCCAGGGAGAAAGTACTTTATTTCCATTACTCCATCTGTAATAGAGTGACTATAGGACCAGTTTGATATAACAGAATTCCATACCATATACATAATTAGGGGGTCCATACTCCATCTCGCCATCAGTTTGGGGTCCTTGGCCTGGAAAACCTTGAAGACCCCTAGTGGAGACAATAAATCTAATGGGGTTCAAGAGCCTGTAATACTTGGCTCAACAGTGTATTTATATGCATCAATACAACAAAACAAACAAAAAAAAAAAAAAAAAAAAAAACACTTTTGTGTTACTTTGCCGTAAAATCTTTTTATCTGGTCTTACAGGATGACATGGACGACTCCAGTGGGACTTTCACTAATGGACTTCCTGGTGTCAGAGGACCAGAAGGGATACAGGTACCTTAATCACTCCTATATTCTAATATTACAAATAAAATATGAATCTCAAAGGTAACACTATATGTGCTTCTGATATTAGATCTGTTAGAGCAGAAATGTTAAAAGTGACTCAGTTTCATTGTACTGATATAATGAAGACGTTATCATAGGCCAACTGGTAATAATTGAACATAAAGAAATTTAGATAAGGGAAAAAATATGCTGTGTTGAATATTTTTCTGGAGCTTCAAATAACCAAAGTAAATAATGTGCTTTCAGGGTCCTCCTGGTTTACCTGGACAACCAGTAAGTAACAAGCTACAGTGAACTGGTTTTCCAGAGAGTAACTATAAGAGCTTAATGTGTCAATTAGGTTTAGAAACATTTTGAAGTTAATCTACAAATCATATTCTTTCGTAACAAATAAATCTGCATATGTAAGTTGTGAACTTCTGTTTTTAATGGTTTGGGAAGTTTTCAGATTTAATCTACTGTAAATGTCAGCATCTGTTTCTAAGTAAAAAAAAAATTGGAAAGAAAATTAATAAGAATCTTTAACAATTCGGTGTTAAAGTGTTTGGAATAGAGCTTAAAAGCATGAAGGAAATGTTAGATTTTTTTTTACAGACAGCTGAGGAAGCAGATATATGAAAATCATGTCTTTTCTGTGAATGATATATGTTTCTTATTTTATTATTTAATATGAAATTGACACTTAAACTTTACCAACAGGATTTAGCCAAAACTACTCTTAGTTTGAAAGTTTGTTTTTATCTTTCTGTGTTTTTGTTTACATTTTGTATAACTTTACGTGTTGTTTGTAGGGTACCCCAGGTTTTCCTGGTATACAGGGTCCAAAGGGTGAGCAGGGTCCCTCAGGAAGCGACGGACAACCAGGTCTGGATGGCTTCCCAGGACCTCCGGTAAGAAAAAAGGAACTCGGTTTGAATTTTAAATATAATCGTATGATTTCCAAATATGCATTTATTAAAGCTCCTTTTCTCTGGGTTTGCTTAGGCTGATTTTTTACCGCTAAGGCCGCTTTGCGATCACAGTTTTTTCGTACTTGGCTTATTTTCATAGCTGATCAGAGCCTGTATGAACACAGCTAAGAGGGGCCGAAATATGAAAGAAAATACGTTTTGCCAAAAAACATTCCGGAAGACGTTGAAACACAGAGAACTTTAAACTGAGCGAGTCAAACTGAAATATAATTTTAATATTCTCATACTATATACAGCAGGCAAAATAAGTATTGAACACGCCACCATTTTTCTCAATATGGAAATTTCTAAAAGTGCTATTGACATGATATTTTCACCAGATGCCTGTAACAAGCAATCCACACATACAAAGAAATCAAGCCATAAATGTCTAGAAATTGATAAATGTGTAATGAATTGAAATGATACAGGGAAAGCGTAATGAAGATATTTAATGAAATTACTTAAATACTTTGTACAAAAGCCTTTGTTGGCAATGACAGCTTCAAGACGCCTCCTGTATGGAGAAATTAGTCGCATGAATTGCCGAGGTGTGATTTTGGCCCATTCCTCCACAAAAGCAGTCTTCATATCTTGAAGGTTCCATGTAGCCTTTCAAGGTTTCACTCGCAGATCAGTCTGGCTACTCTCCGTTAAAGAAAATTTGGAACAGTTCACCAAATGAACGTCCAATCAGCGTTGGCTTTGAGGCGGGTTTAGGTAAGACACAACGAG